TACTTGCGTGAAAAATTATTATAAACAGCCAGAACATATCTTGTTTTACTGAGAATTGTATGCTCTATCAGGCTATGTGGCTTGAAAAATTTTCTGAGAAAAGAACACGGAGTTGGTTTTCCAGCAGACGGGTTTTCCAGAAACCCTATTATCAACTTTTCTCATTAAGCGACAATATGTCCCACATCTAATAGAAAAATGTTCGGGCTAGTCAATACAGTATTTAGATTGATTTCAGCTGTTGCCAAAATATCAGAAAGAGAGGAGTTCTTGTGATAATGACATACAGTACTGCATAGATAATACCCCAACTCTTCTTTTTCATATCTTTAATGACTGGACCCACCTTTTTGGATGTTCTGATCAGCTCAGTTTATAGAGATTTTCAAGGGCTATCCAATGGTATGTTTTCGCAAAAAACATAATTTTTCATTATGGCAGAAAACTTACCAAAGGAGTATTTAAAGTACTTAGATAGCTGAAAATCACTATATCGCCACGTATTTCAACTATTCGTCGATGTGGGCATATTTTTCAAAGACTCATTAATACGCAATTTTGAAGCCCGTAAAATTCTCTCTCGAATGATATATAAAGTGGCGTGGTTAACGATCAACTGGTTGGACAATATAAGCGATAAACGCTGCTGACCTATGAGTTTGTGGAGGTTGGGGCTAGTATTTCTTGTGTTACGACACCCACGCCCCATTTGCCCTCAATATTATATATATTATTTTGAAGCCCACAAAATTCTCTATCGAATGATATATAAAGTGGCGTGGTTAACGATAAACTGGTTGGACAATATAAGCGATAAACGCTGCTGACCTATGGATTTGTGTAGGTGAGGGCTAGTATTTGTTGTGTTACGACAGCCACGCCCCATTTACCCGCAATATTATATATGTCATTTTGAAGCCCGCGAAATTCCCTCTCGAATGATATATAAAGTGGCGTGGTTAACGATAAACTGGTTGGACAATATAAGCGATAAACGCTGCTGACCTATGGATTTGTGTAGGTGGGGACTAGTATTTCTCGTGTTAGGACACCAACGCCGCATTTCTTCTCAGTTTTATATATATCATTTTGTAGCCCGCGAAATTCTCTATCGAGTGATGTACAGTAGTTTAGGTTTTCTTTGGGTAAGGAGGAGAAACTGGGAAAATATTCTAAATAAAGTTCATTAAAGGGGAGAAAAGTTTGGACGCGGAATTTTTTCCAGGGGGGCTGAAAATGGTTTTTTTGAGATGCTAGTTTTAATCAGCGAGAAAAACTACATCAGACTTGTGAATATGAGCTTGATCTGAGAGGGGGCCGATTTTGCCTCTTATCGACCCCCGTCCTTTGCTTTCCTAACGAACATGCTCACGCAGTGTCAAGAAAAAGACTGTTCTGAAGTAGTTTTTATTAACTGTGCTCGATGTTCAATGAAGTTATATTTCGAACATTTTTTCGTTAGCTATCATTTCCATTAAAAATACAGTTTTTATTTATACGCGCCATCGCTTTTAAACTGCTTTAATGTTTTTTTAACCTTAAAGCACTGAAGGAACATGTATGAAAATAGAACGAAAAGAAGAAAAACACGAATTTTCTGTACGGAAATGTGTACAGAGAAAAACCGGTTTTTCGCTGTTCTTTTACTTCTCGGCCTAAAAAGCTCGCTCAAAATCTCACAAAGAGCCTTGAAAAGATGTTTTTTGTTGGTTTTGCGATATGCTCTTTCATATAGACAGATCAGAAGATTTTTTTGGTGCAAATGATTTTTTGGCATAAAAACCAAGATCTTTGAAAAAAAGGAAAGGGCTACAAAATAAGCTATAGTACGTTGTTTCAAATCTTAGCTTTAATAGACTTATTGGCAAAATACCGAACAGATGGAAAACTAGAAAAGTCTGCAAACAAAGCAGCAGAAACTTGTTGGGGGGCTTTTCTAAATATAATGTAACTCGATGAAACAATGTTGTGGAGAGCTCGGAGACATGTTAGGAAGTATAAACTAGATCTCATATCAGCAGTCATCTTTCAATATACATATTCTTATCGTCTGATATATGTATTCACTCTTCTGCTTTTTATGATATGTATTTTCTCTCTTTCTGTTCACTCTTTTCTCATGGGTATTTTTCATTCCTATTCTTCTCTCGCTATCGCTCTCTCTCTCTTGTACAATAGCTGTTTTTCCCAGTTTCCCAAAGGGATCTTCCTATAGCTAAAATATACTATACTTATAGATGTTAATTTACTGAAATAAAGTGTGTGTAACAGTTACATTCTTCATTGGCTATTAACCATTGGATGCAAAACGATTCTGAAAGGAATAACCTCACAGACATCTTATTTTCCTCAGAAATATTTACTCTCTCTCTCTAACAGAACCATTAACACAAAACTACCGATAGAAGCTAGGATACTAGAAAGTAGGTCTTTGAATTTTTCCCAAATCCTGCTTTTTAAATATTTTGAGAACATTTTTGTATATGCCTGATCGGATAGATAAAGGTTTTTTGTGATAAGACCCCCTAAGGTTTTGGCATTATCTACCTCGTGCTCTGAAATTTTGGTTTTGGCATTATCTTCCAGCTCCGGTGCTCTGAATTTTTTCGTTTCAGTTCCGATTCCGTGCAGTTGAAAAATAGAGAGTAAAATGATGGTGTAACGGAAATTTCCATTTCCGTTTTCCAACTTATCATTACTACACATGATTTCCACCCTATCGACTTGCTTGCCAATATCCCTGAGTTGCACGGTGTGGTGATGGAAAGCAGTTTGACACCTTTGAATAATGCACCGAAAACGGCCAAGTGTCTTTTAAAGACTTCACACCCACCTGGAACAGTTAATCTGATGAACGCTGAGCTTTGCTCAATTATCAGGACGAATTGCACAGGTCAACATATTTTTGATCGGCATCAAAATCGGCTTTCTCTGATTCGATTCAGTGCCGCTCTTTTGCAATGCATGACCGATGCGGCACCACGCGTGCTCTTCTGTGAAGGTGAACAAGCTTCACAAAGCATCGACTTTCGATTGTACAGTCTTCTCTTTGATGCAAACAAAATTGAAGTGCGTCCAATGGAAGGAGGTTGTGAAGGTGTCAGAGTGAAAACAAAACCCGCTCAAAGTGCTAGTGAAGTGCTTCGTTCGCCGCGTCATTACTTTGGTATACGCGACCGCGATCGAAACTTCGGTATTGCACAGAGATTTATTGTTATTTTACCTATTGCCGAAATTGAAAATTTATTTTGGGTACCGAAACTATGGCCGCTCTTCCATAAAATGCTGAAGGCATTAGGAAAGAATGTATCAGAAGATCATGTTCGACAAAAGAAAAACGAATTTTGGAACAAATTTCGTTCACTATTGAAAACGCGTATGTACTATTATATGTCTGAATACGCCCAAGATCATTACAAAAATCTCCATCAAGAGAAACAGCCCCGCAAAAACCAGCGAAACGATCGAATACGGGACCACAAAGACAATCCGGAAGAAATTCATCAGATCATGAATAAATATTAGCAAGACATCCAGAACGAACTCAGAGATTTCGAAAACCGATGGTGGCCAGTTCTTGAAGATGCCTATCACTATTCAGGTGCGTGGCTTATTGAAGAAAAATCACCTGATAAATTGTTGGAACGCTATAGATCCACGAATATTAAGCCAAACGACGATCTTAGCAGCTTAGTAGTGATTAAATCAGAATCTCTTATAGAAAATGTGGCTTCCTCCGATAAAAGGTTGTCGCCAGGAAAGCTTTTCCGAGCCTTTGTGGAATACTACCATTTACTAAATGAGAAAAGGATATGTCATCTTCTGGAGGAAATAATATTTAAGCAAGGCTTGTATCATCTTCTTGGAGAATCTCGTGCTTCTATGGAATTCATTATCTGTTATTTACTGGAACAAGCGGATCTAGGGCGTTCTGCGCTGTCTAGCAGAATCGCGTGCGAGATATTGGCAATCTACCAATCTTTAATGAAAAGTGCACAGTTGCCTGACACGACTACGCGCGATCATATCATGCAATCACTGCGAATTAGTACAAAACTCTAATCTTCAACGAAATCAATAGGAAGTAATGGCGCATGGCTGGGATTAGGCTCGCGGGACAATTAATTATCTTGTGTTCAATGTTCTTTTCGTTATTCTCTGTGCATTGAGGAAAATAAATTTACTGTTCGGATCCTCGATGTTTCGCATAAGAGCCAGTTCACGTAAGCCGCGACCGACAGTGCTCGATCGATATCCTCCGATTCGACTCATTTTAACATATGTAATAGAAACAACATTTGCATGATCTTTGGTGAAAGCCGATTCAAAAAGGCTATGCCGTTTATGCTAGAGGTTAATAAATGGCAAAGCCATTTATGCTAGAAATTAGCCATTTATGCCAGATAACCGTCCCGGATACAAAAATTATGAAAGAGAAAGAGCCGTTTATGCTGGAGAGTAATAAATGGCTATGCCGTTTATGCTAGAGGTTAGCAAATGGCAGAGCCATTTATGCTACACAACGCTGATAGCAACTGTATAGCCATTTATTCGGAAAAAAGTGGGGGTCAGCCGTTTATGCTAGAAACGGCGTAATTTATTATTTTGTTAATAAATTGTAAGCCCTCTGTGATCGTCCTCCACAGCACGATTTGCCATATCGAATGAACTGTTGATGTATACATGAGATATATATACTGTCAGAGCGCCGTAATAAAAACAATTTCACTCTCTCTTGAAAGACATCCCCCCATTTTTCAAATTAGGAATTTCCTTGTACTCGGAAGTCAAGATAATAATAATAACCTCTGACATAAACACAATCAATCCATTGTTGTGAAACAAAGTCACTTGAACAAACTTGATGATATGTTGGTTGAATAGATATAAGCTCTTGATACTTAATTGATATATGTGAACACGGACATGTAAGTGTATCAGAATATCGTGATTGTAAGTTCCGATAAACTGATAGTGATGGTGATTGAATATTAATAATTTTTGTCTGTTTGGATAATGATATACTACACAATTAATATACATAATGTACTTGTCAACAATAGTAGATATAATCTTGTTGTTATACGTTCAGTTCTGACGACTTGTTCATCTTCAGAAAAACTTTTAAAGAAATTCAGTGTAATAACAGCATTCCTGATTTTTTTCTATTTCTGCAAAAATGATGATTTTTTTGAATTTCCGGATGAAACTCTTTTCTGAGTTTTTCTAACACCCACACCTACGTTCTATATACGGTGTAGTTACGGCCGTTTACTGGCGTATTGCTGAAAAAAAAAGTATAATTACAATTAGCAGAAATTTATTGAGTCAATAACGCCCTTTTGGATTTTGTTGGTCTACCGCGACGTCTTTTTTCATCCATTTTAACATTTTTAGCAGCAGGTGCTGGTTTGCAGTAGTTTAATCAAATTGCCATACCAATAACATGTTTACACACGTAACCCTGGAAGGATCCCGAATCCTGTAGGCTTTTTATGACACTCATGTGCCTTATCGATCAGCAAAATATGAGCTCAAACGGAGTTGGACACCCGGAGAGCTTCCCTCATCAGTCATGTTGTGGGGCTAGTTTACTAAGAATTTGGCTAAAACAAAAACAGACAGCGCCGACTCATCAACAAAATTTTGCATAGGCAATGCTAATTATAATATAAGTACTTTTCATCGATAGGATAAGACAAATGCTAGAGATATTAGTAAGACACTAAACTCACTTGGATATATTAGCCATTCTTTTCTATACATATTTGCGGCAATGTAGAAAAGGAAGCCAGTTTCTGATATGAATATT